TTGTGATGAATTTTCCAATTTGAGGATGATGATTGAACAATACCATTATCTTCGTGGTGACATTATCTTCAATATTTAAAAGTCACCTTATCTAGAAAACATGGTTTGCTTGCCAAAAAGTCTCATTGTAAGTCCCAGCCTTCTATTGCGTATATTTTCTTTCATTGCTCCTCAATTTAAATGGCGATGATCTTGACAAGTTTTTGGGATTTCTTAACAATGTTCTATTTAATAATCACAGTGGATCCTGAACTTAATCTATTTATCTTCACAATAGTCAAAATCAGTCTTGTACTTCCTACTCTTCCTTGAAAAACCATGTCTAGGTTGTTTACATGCATTCTCCCCACACACTTCTCGAATTGAAAACGACAATAGATCTCAACTCAAAGAAATGGTTTATGTGTACTCGCATTGCTCGCTCATCTCAGGGTTTTCTTTAGCAAAAATTGTTTTCAACGTGCTTCATCTACTTTTTCAAAAGAACTTTTCTACTTAAGAAAGATGATGGATCTCGACAGAAGAATGTTTATTTTCGCAGTGTCGTTGCACAGTCTTCATCATTGGGATACCATCCTCCTTTCGAAGAAAATGTCTATTTATATGTATTTGCTAACATGCTACTCAACCCATGAACAACTATGAATCCTAATATAAATGCTAGATGCGCCATTTTTCCTATTTTATGTGGTTTGCTCTACTATGCATTTTTCAACCGGTAAATTCATCAATAAAATATAATCTAAAACTTTAGCACAATAAATTAACAAACGGGCCTTTAATCATTTATATAAAACTCCTTCACTGTGATCGCGGCTTGGCGCGATATTCACTTCCTAGCAATCTATAAGTAAAAATATATGTAAAATTGAAACCAAAATTTAGTACATGAGGAAATTTGCAAACGTTCAATATTATCATATTTCAAATCTCTGAAACTTTATGTATAGCCTCGCTCGAAATTTCTACCCTAGAGCAAAGGGAACAAAGAATGCAATATCTAAACAATGAGAAAGTTGAAAACTTTTCAGTTTCTCCCAAAATGCAATGGGCCATGGAGGCAAGGCAAATAGAATATAGGGACAACGAGCACATAACCTTGGATGGCTATAAACCAAGCTTAGCTAAGCCACCTCTCTTCCCCCATTCTCTTCCTTTTTCTCCTTTCAACCTTTTTGGGCTTTAATCTCTTCAAATAGTTCCATCACCCTATGATAGGTTGCCCTTAACCATATCATACAAACCATCAAAACTAAAAATTGCATCTCATACAAGAATCTCTCTTGACCTCCACTAGCATGTTCCCTTACACATGCTTATGTCCTCTTTCAAATCAAACAAACAAATATATGTGTACAGTGTAACAAAACCCCGTTGTACCATGTTTCACCATTTAAAAACTAAACAAGGCGACATAAGATCAAATAATGATTTTGCTTAAAAAAAAAATTTCCCCTTGGCCATCCAATAGGTAGGGTGAGTTCGGGTAAGGCAAAATCAAAACCCGGAGACCAAAACACACTATGGAAATATGAAAAGTTGATATGCCTTCAGAATTTTAGCTAAACCCGAAACCGAAACCAACAATAAAACCTAAAAAATCGAAAACCCGAACTCGAAACAGAATCGAAATCGAAAACCCAATACTACATCTTATCGATTTGGGTCCGGTTGAAACCGAAAAAACCGAACCCAAATTGACACCCCCTATCCAATAGTACTATAAATACCACATGACTAATTGAGGAGAAGGGTCATGAGAGGCCTATTTGAGTGATAGAAAGAGAGACATAGATTCCTTCTTCAGTTCTTCTTTTGTACCTTGGCACTTTTCATAGCATGGCGATCAACAGAGAAATAGCAGTTTGTATCCTTCTAATCTTCCTTGTTATGTCACGTAACCATACATTTATGTGTGTGGAAGGCAGGCATTTGAGGCGGCCGAGGAATAGCCACCACAACCACCCAACGTCGGTAAAGAGTGGCGCCGCCGGGAAGCAATATTATCCTTTTACCAACGTGTCGTCCAAAATAAATGGAGGGAAGGTGGAGGTGGCGGCGGCGGCCGGTGGCGGCGTGGAGAGGAAGATGGATTACAATGTGGATGATTTCCGACCAACCATGAGGGGCCATAGCCCGGGAGTTGGCCACTCCATCAACAATTAAGAGATGTTTGCCAAGCAAAAAAAAAAAAAAAAAAAACCCACATTTCTATTGTTCTTTGTTTCTTTTTCTCTCCATTGTTTTCTAGCTTTTTGCAAGTGGGGATGGCCGTCGGGAACAGCAGGAGATGTAGTGTACAGAAGAGGAGCTTGTTAATTAATATGTTGAAAAACTCGACCAAAATACACTTGTTCTTTTAATATATGACTAGAAATTTGGCTGGCGCTCTGCCGCGGGTTATTGAAAATAAATCGATCAGTTAATGTTAAAAAATATATTGGTGTACTTAGAACCGTAATCAACTTCTCAATCCCTTTAGAATTTGTTTGATATAATCTTGAGTTAAATAACTAAACTTATATTTATACAACATGAAGTTAGATTGAATAGTTGAGTATATAACAGTAGAGTTGGTATTTTCTAAATAATTATTGATTAGACCATATTGTACTTGGCTATATTTATGTTTATAAATAAGTGGTGTTTGAACTTTGTACACTTACAAACCGTAAGAAAATACAATCTTTACCCTTAATTTTGGGTAGAATCTTTGTCAATATTTAATAAAAATACATGTGAGGTTTTGTAGTGGTTAGAGAATTAATTAGTATACATTAACCTAGCTAATTTGATGATTCTTTCATATTCTTCAAAGTTATATTGTGAATTATACATACACACATTCATAGTTTTTATTAACTCTCTCATACAGAAAAAAGAAACAAAAGCTTATACTTCATATATCAACTTGTTGCTCTTTGTTAGTGTGCAAACACATACATTTGTAACTCATGCACACATATAAAAGGAATCACTGGGCAACAGCTGGAGCTCCGGGCAAAGAAAAGGGGAAATAAGCTAATGTGAGAATAATCTAAAGTAAGTGATGAAAATGGATGGGCATTTTGTTAGTGAATGATATATGATCCACAATTGAAGGGACCGGTTATTATAACAACACCACTTGTGTTGTTATTGTAACAACACTAGTCTCCAACCAATAGGAAGTTAGGGTTGTGATGACTTTTTATTAGATGAGTTGACCTAGTGTAAAATCAAAGCAGGGGTATAATTGTCATTATGAAAAATATGTTTAAATAATAATAAAAAATAAAAAAATATTTTTTTTCGGACCAAAATTTTGGTCGCCGGAATCTGGTCGCCGGTCACCGGAATATGCTTTTTTGTCGCCGGAATATGCCACTGTCGCCGGAATATGCTCATCGTGGTCGGAATATGCTTACCGGCGTCGGAATCTAGTCATCTGGGCCGGAATATGCCTATCGGCGTCGGAATCTACTCACTGACGGTCATCGGAGTTCGGTCAATGAACTTCGTTGACCGGTCAACGGTCTTCGTTGACCGGTCAACGGTCTTCGTTGACCGGTCAACGGCCAACGACCACCGGATGTTATGGTCTGCATTGTGAGATTTATGGTTTGGTTTCTCATATTTTTGTATGCCTTTTGTGGTTTGCTTTATCGTGTTTGTGGTTTGCATTAAGAAGTTTCTGGTTTGCTTTATCGTGTTTGTGGTTTGCATTGAGAAGTTTCTGGTTTGCTTTCCAAAAATTTGCGGTTTGCATTATGAGGTTTCTGATTTGTTTTAATATATTTGTGGTCTGCATTAGGACGTTTATGTTTTGCTTTCAAATATTTTGTGGTTTGCATTGTGAGGTTTCTGGTTTGTTTTAATATATTTGTGGTTTGCATTAGAAGGTTTCTGGTTTGTTTTTTTGTGGTTTGCTTTTCCGTGTTTGTGGTTTGCATTAGCGTGTTTCTTGTGTGCTTTTCAAAATATTTATGGTTTGCTTTGTGAGATTTCTAGTTTGTTTTAGGAGACTTGTGGTTTGTTTTAGGAGGTTTCTAGTATGTTTTTTGTGGTTAGTTTTATCGCATTTGTGGTTTGTATTAGGAGGTTTTTGGTGTGTTTTTAGAAATAGTTGTGGTTTGCTTTGTGGTGTTTCTAGTATGTTTTAGGCGATTTGTAGTCTGGATGATGAGGTTTCTGGTGTGCTTTAGAAACATTTGTGGTGTGTTTTATGGTGTTTCTGGTATGTTTCAGGAGATTTATGGTTTACATTACAAGGTTTTTGGTATATTTTATAGTATGTTTTATTGGATTTATCAAAATGCCTCGGTCTCTCTTTCAGTGATACAAAAGCAGTCTCGTTGAGTTAATTTTATTTCCCCCACAAATTAGTGAAACATAACACATGTTTTCCACCTCCTTCATCAACATCATCAACTCAATCACTGCCAGTCTGCCATTATGAAATGGTGATACATTTACACCAGCACTAAAACCCGAAATCTAAAAAGGTAGAAACAGTGAATTTTTGTTAGATCTCTCATCCAATGAATTTGGGCCGAAACCCACTAACCTCAATCCAACAACCAAATGTTCTTAAGTGCCAGATTACTGAAGAATCCTACCTTAACAAGCAAAGTAGTGGCATCAAACATGTTTGGTGTATCAATCCCATTAAGATAAGCTTTGATCTCAGGGATCCCAGGTCCTACTGCAGTTGGTGCAAAGAACACACACAACACAACAACAAAAGCTGTCAACACCAGATTGACTCCAGTTGGTGCTCCCTCCGCTTTATCCCCCAATCCTCTCCCATTTTTTAGTGTTCTTCGTTACCGCCACACGATCCCTCTTCATTCGCCCTTCTCTCTCTTCGCCTCTTCTCATGGCGTCGCTCTCTTCTTTCCCTCCGCTCATCCACCCTTCTTCCGCCGCCGGTAACGCGACTAGTCGTCTTAATCAGCAAACTCAGCGGCAACTCCTGTTCGTCGATTTTGTCGGGCTGTGCGGTCAATCGCGGCGAGCTGTTAGCCGGCGGAGACTCTCCGCGGCAGCTTCTGGTTCTTCTCGTACTCGAAATTAACACCCGCCGCCGCAGAAGCATCCGCGGAGAAAATCATAACTCCATTAACATCAAACCCATTCCTCTCCAGCATCGCCAGCGCGTCGAAAAACCCGTCCCCTTGAATCCCTCTCCCATTCACCTTGTAGCTCGGCAGCAGCTTCTCCTTCCCAAATTGCCCCGCCCGCAGCCGGAACGCGGCCAGGTAAGCCACCGGGTTCCTAACCTTATCCGTATAGAACTGGTAGTTCACATAATCAACAAGCCCACCGTACCTCCGAAACAGAGCCGCGTAGGGCGCCAGCGTGGTGTGGAACGGCGCAATCGTGGCGACGGAGATCGAATTTTCTCGCTTCAGCAGCGCGATTAGCTCGCCGATTCAGAAGGCGAAGCTTTCGATGTCGCCCTTGCCCCTGCCGGCAGGGGAGAAGAAGAATCAAGATCCAGCGGGAGTGTGAAGGAGACGAGGGTGGGTGGGCTAAATACATTTAATTTTATTAGATTTTAGATCAGTTTACCCTTATACCCTTAATGAACCCACAATTGAACTTCTCCCAACAATTCGAGTTATTGGGCCCAATTGGTTCTTGACACATTTCACATTCGACCATCCCAGTACTAATTGCTCATAGCTTTCCTGAACCTGCAATATTGATCCCTCTTCACCACCAAAACCCCAAACCGGTGCTCCCTAAAATTTCCCGGTGGGAACTTGATGCTTCAGGTACGAGCTCATCGAGGAAGAGAAAACGAAATCAAGGAGTCGATCGATGGTTGTTGCAGCGGGTTGAGTCACGATTCGCTTTGATTTCATGGAGTAGAGAATTATAGATGGAATAATTTTGCTTCAATTGACATGGCCATCGGCCACACGCTTGGGATCAGGATGGGGAAACAAAAACTTCCTATACGATTTGGGGAGAAGGGGAAGGATAGAAGACCAGTGGAGCTGCCAGAAGGCACGCAAGGGAACTTCTAGGTCGGCTTCTGCTTCTCAACTTCTCAACAGCAACGGGAGTAAATCCGGCAATCCAACTTGACCAGCCGTTTAGGAATCGTCGGAGGGGAGGTACGGGAAATACGCGGGTGCATAAAACTTACTGCGAATCCGTCCGTATCGGCTCTTCGTCGGCTAGCTCTCTTGCCCAACCGCCAGGGGATCGACGGAGGGGCAAAAGGGGTCGAAAGAATGGGAGTTCGATGAAATTGAAATCGAACTGAAAACTACCAATTGAAAAATGGGGATGCAGCAAATCTACTGTAAACCCGCCCGTACCTGCCTAGACCCCTTAAGTCTACTCGCCGATTGATTATACTAATTTTATGAAATGTTCCTAACCCAAATTAACAAACCTGAGAAATCTCAGCCTAACACTCAACCAATCAAAGCTCTTAGCTTTGATACTATTTTCTAAAAGGGTTTCGTCGTCCTTTCAATTCAAAAGTAATGAAAACTAATCCAACGCTAGGACATGGCACCAAAATGAGATTCAGAGGATATGGTGAGCCCACCCCTAAGATTTTGTCGATTTTTCTCCCCCAAATAGTTGTATGATAATGAACGATTCTAGAACCTTGGGGAGGAGATAGCAAAACTCGTTGCACAAGTTATAAAACTCGTGGTAACAGATTTTTTCGCACTTTCAGGATGAACCATTCCAAAATAGTTTGAGATGTCAAGAATGAATGATTCTTGTCTCATTAGAACACAGCACCGAGTGAAGTATAAACTTGACATTGCGAGCAGTTCATATTTTAGTGGTATAACCGGCCGTGACGGATCCAGAGATAATATACAGGAGTGTCTTTTTTTAAGAGTTAAATTAATAATTGAATAATTCTTAAATAAAAAAATATCTAACTAGTACAAGTTACAACGTGTTTTTATATTCTAAAAAAGTTATAAAATACACTCGGTGACTACAAGGCTCAATTAATCTCTTTATCTTACTACACAATCATTCAGGAACCTCCGAAACTTGTTCTTAAAGTATCCCAAGCTGAAAATGTATTTTCAACCCTTGCAGTTGCAATCGGTAAAATCAATAACTTTGAGAAGCAAGTAAACTAATGGATATGATAGAATTATGGGAATAATAGGTTTAATTTTTAGATTTTGATAATAATGGGGAAAGAGAATAGTATTTTTACTATTAGACTTGTGTTTAAAATACATTAACAAATGAGTTGTAGCCTAATGAAAAACATGTTTACCAATAATAGTAGTGTCCGAGGTTCTAATCACTTAATCTACCCCTTATATATCTTTTTTTATTATCCATACACAAACTACTACCGAGATTGGATAATCGTTTTCTCCAAATTATAGGTGTATCCCGGGCACGATTGTTAAAAAAAATCAATAATGAATCTGTACTTTATAAAAAATATATTATAAAGGCTACACAGTACACACATAATAAACACTGAACCATACATTCAAAATAGACTACATTATTCTTAAACAAATTTTATTTATAAACATATCAGCTAATTTTTATTAATCAAAAGAGTTTGATGACATGGAATCATCTTCCAAATAAGAGCAAAAAAAGCTGGTGATCTATTCACCCACAACTCCTCTTCTTCCCATCTGCACTCAGTATGGGCCATGATATGAACTGGCCGGGTTGCATCTCAGCCCACAAAACTCCAATCTACCCCACTAAGCGTCTGGGCTTTTTCTCCTAGCTCACTACAAACCCGGCCCACCTCAAGACTGGACGAGGTTTAACACAAGAAGTCAAGAATACTAAAGTGACACAAAATTATTGTATTTTTTTTTTTGCGTGACATACCCAGATAGACCATCGACCATGGGACCAGATCAGGTCAGTAACCCATCAGTAACCTCCTCTCTTGTCGCCACGTGTCAGTCTTTTTTTTTTTATTTAAATTAAATGCGAAAGGACAATAACGTAAAATTGCTTCTACCTCTATTTATTGCTAACACTGACTTTTAACCGGATCACATCAGCGACTTCTCTCTCCTCGAAAAACTTTTAATTTTCCTTCTTTTAATCTTTAACGGACGATTTCTCACCCGTTTTAAGTTCGAATTTAATTTTTTTGCACAGTTAGATCAGATTAATTGTGCTTTTCAAAATGATATCCACTTTGACATTTTTTGGACATAAAAAATTTTGTCAGTTATTACCAGTCTATACCATATGATATGGACTGGTATTGATCATACCATATGGTATGAAAAAATTTGCCACATCAATATATATTACGTTACCACCCAATACCATATGGTATAGTGTGATAATATCAATATATATTTCGTTACCACCCAATACCATATGGTATAGTGTGGTAATATCAAAATATATTTCGTTACCACCCAATATCATATGGTATAGTGTGGTAATATCAATATATATTTCGTTACCACATAATATCATATGCTATAGTGTGGTAATATCACACAATACCATATGGTATAGTGTGGTAATATCAATATATAATTCGTTACCACACAATACTATACATTACCATATGATATAATGTGGTAATATCAATATATATTTCATTATCACCGAATACCATATGATATAGTGTTATAATATCAATATATCTTATCTAAAAGAAAGAAAAAACAGAAGGAGGTAGAGAAAAAAAAAAATCGTCATGTGTCACCTCTCATTTCCTCTTCCGCAATCAAGAACACCAAAATGCCGAAAAAATGAGAAAGATCGAAATTGAGGCCAACGAGATGATGAAGAGAAGAAATGCAATGAAAAAGAGTGGCTCCAATTTTTATTCGTCATGGAAAAAAAATAAAGAAGAAGAGAAGGGAGCAGATTTAGATCTAGAAATGAGATTGAGAGAGAAAAAGGAAGAGAGAAAGAGAGAGGATCTGGAAAAGAGATTGGGAGAGAAAACAGAAGAGAGAAGGAAGATAGAAAGTTGCAGAGAAGTGATTTCTCTTTCCTTCTTTGAAAGTGCAGCCACTAAATACGAAATAAAATAAAATAAAATAAAGAATTTAATGTATAAACGGACGAAAATATCCTTCCCCACTCAGCGTCCGGCCCAATCACACGATTGCCTACCTCTTAGATCTATGGTTCCTATTCATTACTGACATGGTTACTGACCCTATCTGCTGCCATCGACTCCCCGGCTCCTTTATTTCCACTCTTCTGCGTTTCCGGTTGAATTTCAGTAATGAGACTATGATATAGTTTCTCTTTTATGCGACCTTATGTTTGAATTAAAAAATGAAATGAGTGATTGATCGCTATGAAAATTCTGTCATGCACTTCATATGTGAACAAGGAGGGTAGCAGCAAATTGACGCAGGTTTAAGGAAACTGCACTTAGCTTCCATTTAGGGACTCCAGTCTACAGGGTTAGGTGATGTAATCTTTAAGTTTGTGTCGAAACAACCTTACATGCAGGGGAGAGATCTCATTCTTACTTGGATGCTTCAGCGATGGACCAACATCGAACTCACATGCATATTCGCTCTCTAATGTCCAGCCAGATTGCTCTAGATCGACCGCGATCTTCTGAGGGATGTTTTCAGCAGGGCAAAGAAACTTGCAATTGGTCCTAAACTGGTTCAATCGCGGCCACCTGTCCACCAGCATCAGAATGATAACACATCAATCTAGTATATTCTATCAACGACAGTTCCTTTGAATATATAGAGAGATGGTATATGTTCCGTGCTCATCGATGTCAAATCAATTAGCCTCAGCAAGCAACATAAGTTATTTAGCCATGAATGCAAACTGTGGCAGCTAACCAATATGAGAAAAGTGAACTCTAAACATGAAGCAGGAACCAGGCAATAGGCGGAGCTAAGAGCATATGGATGGGGAACAGAATTATGACAATAGGGCTACACCATAGCATCAGTACAGGCAATTGGCATTACGGAGCCACACGCAACGTTGCTCTATAAATCACATTCCCACTTATTTGATCGACTGTCGCTTAAACCCCACCGCCCACCGTATGAATCAATCCATGCAACCAGCACACTGCTAAGCTAAATGCTAACACACTCCATTCTATTCTACAAGTGTGAGGAAATTTGTAACTGACCACAGCCACAGGGGAAACTTTGCGAAAAGGAATTTCCAACAGAAGCACTTCTCTATGGAATTCCTACTAAGAACTACTTAGCAAAGTGACCAATCCAAATAAGGGAAGTCGAAAATTACCTTTTCTTAAAGAGCAGGGTGATTCTCTTCACCTTTAAAACCAACATTCATTTCAGTGCCAAAACAAACACCAAATTCAATATCTTTCCACTTCCTTAGTCAACCACTTCCTGGAGACGGAGGAAGAGCGAGCATTAGGTTTCTTGTCAAGGAGGTTCCCACCACTCGAATCTTACCCTGGGTCCTCTCGCATTACACGGCCCAGCTGCCAACAAGTGATTGATGCTTCGTAATCCAGGACTATGGAAAACCTGTCATACACTTCATATGTGAGCAAAAGGAGGGCTAGCCGCAAACTGACATATGTTTAGGGAACTCGCAGTTACCTTCCATTTAGGGATGAAAGGGTAAACCAATGTATTCTGAGTTTCGTTATGAAACAACCTTACATACTTGGAACCTTTCATTTTTGCTTGGTTCAGGGGTGGATGAACATTGGTATCCCGCATGAAGATTCACTCTGCAATGTCCACTTGTCCAGACTCCTCATATCAAACTCAACCTTGTGAGGTTGTTCTCGGTGGGGCAGAGAACATCAATGAAAGCATATTTGACTCAATATCCTGTTGAGCATATTATGAGATATCAATTCCTTGAAAGCATCACATTCTGATATTTTGAGGTCACTAGTAGCTTCAGCAAGCAAAATATGTTCTTCGGCCAATGAATGCAAACAGTGCGGCTGAAAATATAACAAAGGCGAAAACTAGACACGAAGCAGGAACCAGGCTGCCGAACTACGAGCATACATCATGGTTATGCGTAGAAAGATGCATATACTTTTACAGGCAGTCGACATGGAGCCACGCACAAATTTGCTTGTATCAATCACGTCCCCACTTATCTGATCAACTGACGCTTAAATCTCACATCGTAGGACTGCGATTAACTAGCAGACTGCTAAGATTCTAGATACACAATGATGCGATCAATGTTACTAAAAAATGCAAATTTCCAATCAGAATAATCGAAGAATATGCAAATTTTCAATCAGTAAGCAATTGGGGCGTCAACTTTCAATTCATCCCCCTCGTCTCTATGTATCTACGCATGGCAGCATCACGATTTATGAGACCCAAAATCAAACACCAAGCTTCCATGAGGCTATTCAAAATCAGTGACAGCAAGGTAAAAAGGGGAGAAACGGAGAGAGCGTACCCGGAGAAGATTCCACATTTGCACCGTTGGCTTGAATTCGTCCACAGCCGCTTCCTGGAGACTGAAGTACGGTGACTTGACCGACGGCGGAGGGAATTTCGCCATTGTCATCGCCAATCGTCGTCTCGTCTGTAATTTGTTCCCGAGGGTTTTCGCTGGTTTGACGTTCAAGCCTTCAAGGCCGGAGGGAACAGAAAAGGTTGAAGGAAATAGATTGGGCTTCTACATTGGGCTCGAGAGCTATATTGGGCCGTGTTTAGCTTCATCGGAATTAACCCATCTGTGACCCATTGCGCGCCACTCTCTAGCTATTTGAAACAGAATCCATGGCAGGCAGCATAAATTGCTCTGCTCTGCTCTTCTCCGCTCCACCTCTTTCTTTCTCCACTTCTCAGAAGAAAAATTCCAAGCAATCTGTAGAGAGAGAAAACCATAACCATCTTCTTCAGCCTATCTCTCCACAAACTCCATTGTTTCTTTCAGCACTCAAGAAGACGATTCAGTAGCCCTTCCCTTCGTTTGGCGTTCTCCGATTTCGTTTCCGCCGTTTCTCTGTGGATTCCCCGACTCCGAGAATTCACAAAATGCCTTTCTCGGTGAGTCTCCATTGCGCTTTCTTGATTGCTATTTTCCTTTCTGTATGTCCAAGTTGAGTTTCTTTCTTTCTTTCTTTCTTTCTTCTCACCCTGATTCCTAATCCCTCTCTCCGCCATTACTTTCTTGATTCTGATCATTCGCTCCGGTACTTCTCCCGCGTTTCAATGATGGGAGTCTTTATCGCCATCTGCTTTTGTGTTACCGGGCGGACGTCGAGCCCTGATGAATCCGATGGAAACGAAGAGCAAGTTAATGAAGACGGAGAACAATTCGCCGTAGACGAAGAAACGCCCGATGGAGACGAGGAGCCATCCAACAGAGAGGAAGAACCATCCACCGTAGACGAGCCAGCCACCGGAGATGAAGAAACAACTGACGGAGTAGTATACAAGCCAATTGGAAAGCGCAATAACGAGCAACCAGAAGAATCAGAGCAGCCGCAAGATACGGTCTCCGTTTCTGTCCGCCGGGGGTTGAACGGCGTAGAAAGATTTATGACGGCGGCGGATACGTTGGAAGGAGAAGTACAACAACCAATTGGGAATCACAGCAATGAACAACAAGATCCGAAGCGCCAGTTTTTGAAGCTACCGGCGGCGGCAATACCGGATATATCAGAGGGATGGAGCCGCTGCTTCCCGATTACTGGGAATCCCAAGAAAAGCGAGCAAGAAGATCTGAAGAGGCAGCTCATGGCGCTATTGGGAGCGGCGACACAACAAATTGCATCTGATGGAGAAGCATCCGCCGCCGACGAAGATCCAACCGATGGTCTCGAAAACCCGTCCGCCGGAGACGAGCCATCCACTGAACTGAGCGGTAAAGACGACGAATCATCCAATGAAGAACCGATCGTCAGAGTATCTTGGTATGGGGAACCTCCGCAGGGAAAAGTAGAGAATCGGGAAACAGTGGATAAAGACGATCACATCATCAAGCTCGATTATCTCGTCTTCAAGAATTGGGGAGGAGAAGCAGAGCAGCCGCAAGATTTGGATCCCCTGAGGACGCTGTCGTTGATCAACTTTGATCTATCTACAACGGCGGCAGAGTCGTCGTCTGGAGGGGAAGAAGTTGACCAGCCAATTGGCAACGGGAACAATCCGCAAGGGGCAGTGAATGGCGTGCAAGGAGAAGTAGATCAGCCAATTGGGAATGGATTGCAGCAGCCAATTGGCAACGGGAACAATCCGCAAGGAGCAGTGAATGGCGTGCAAGGAGAAGTAGATCAGCCAGCTGGGAATGTGTTGCAGCAGCCAATTGGTAGCGGCAGCAGCAGCGTGCAAGGAGGATCGAGTAGCGTAGATGGAGATATGGCGTCGGCGGCGACGTTTTCCGGAGAAGTAGAGCAACCAATTGAGCAGGAGGACCACGATGAGGTGGATCAGCAAGGCGGCGGCGGCGGCGGTCCTGTTTCTCCTCTTGCAGTAGAGCAACCAATCGAGCAGGAACATCAGGCTCTTGCTGACCCCGTGGTGGCTTCACCTCCTCATCAGCCTGGCCCTTCCGCCGCCAATGCTGAAACCGGTCAACCGGGGCCTTCCAGCACTATCCGCCACAGATCACGTTCCCCCAGCCGAAGAATGCGTTCCCCGCCATCTGATTTTACCGGTAGAAATAATGACGGCGGCGGCGACGACGAGTCGCCGGTAGCAGAGGTGTAAGTTGGAATGGGCCTTTTTGTTTTTTGGTAATTTTGAATGGGTTGTTCTGTTCGTAGTAAATGGGCCTTATCTGCTGAAGCGCATCGGAAGATCCGACTAGAGTCCATACTCCATACAGATACAGTAACAAAGAGTGTTTTTGCAAGTTGTAGTAGATTGCTTTGCTGCCGTAGTTAGGCCTTGGCAGTTTCAGATGAATTCTTTGGATCCCAGTTGTAACATCCTTTTGAGCATATAATGCAGACTACTGTGCTAGGGATTGTGATTTGAAAATTGCAAATGACAATGGGAATGAAACCTCCTGTTAATTGAGCTTCCAAGTAGCAATGAGCATTTTAGGTCCATACGATTTTCGCTTAGACGATTTACATATATTTTTTTTACTAATAAAGCTATTGCGAATAATTATGACAACGGGAACAAATTCGTCTCAAGTATCCTCAAAAGTAAAAAAAACTGATATTGGTGATTTCTCAACCATCCATCACTAAGTAATACACTAAATTTGTATTTGAAATTCACCCCATATATTTGGACAAATCCAAATATCATATTTAGTTCGTATCCAAACAGATAATTTAGTATTTGATATTATTGGATTATTTATTAGGATTGGGAATTATTTTCGAGTGTTATTCGATTGAGATTATAGTATTGGAATCGATATATACTGAAATGTCAAAAAATATAAAAGTAAATGAATAATTCCGAGTGACATGTTTATTCCTTAATATGAACAAAGCCATCTCTGCTTAATTGTAAAACATAAATAAACTGAATTTTGATGTGATGATGAATATTACCACGGGGGTGCTGGACTTCTTTTATAGAGGTAACCTTTCTAGTGGAGTTAATTCTACAGCTGTCTCCCTTATTTCTAAGATCTCAAATGCAGAATATTTAAAGAACTTCAGACATATTTCTTGGGTGATTGGAATTCGGGTTCGTGTTGGGAAAACCCTGGTTTTCTAATTAAGCCATTTTCCTTCCGAGTTTTGAACCAATTAGGATGAAATTTGGCTTTAGTCAGTTTAGTGTCAGTTTGGGTTGGTTTGGAAGAGTGAACCTGAACCGAATGCCCACCCCTATGGGCAAGGATAAAAAAGATGGTCGAGCATTTGTTCTTCAGTAATATTGTTGTCCAAGCTCATAGACAAAGGGAAATCTTATTTTTTGGTGAACAAGGACGTGGTTACCCTGTCCTCTTATGGCAAAGTGGTTGTTGCAGTTGGTGGTGACTTGCTTCCTAAAGATGACGAAGTTTTTGGAAATGATATATTTGTTTTGAGATAAGGAATCTAGTTCAGACACAGTTGTTGAGACTTGTGATTCTTTGGCCTTTACACTCTTTGGATTTTCATGTACGCATGTCGGTTGGGGATTTATGACATCGTCGTTTTAGAAATCCTCATAATGCTCACGTGGTCATTATGTTTAGTCGCAATTTATTACCTGATTCCGTAGGGTCTCGTTTCACCTAGCCCTCTCGTGTTAACTACATTGAAGCCAAAACCTCATAGTCTTCTTTTTCTTTGAGTGACACGATGTATGATCACCATCCGATTTGGTTCATACAGATCTATGAGGCCCTTCACTTGTTACATCTGGTATGGGTTAAAAGTATTTCGCGTTGTTTATTAATCATGCTACGTGATTTGCATGGATTTATTTCCTGAGACGTAGGTCCGGATTAATTGATCATGCTAACCCTTAGTACAATTTTTATACTCAATTTGCGAATACTATCAAGATTATTCGCTCATATCCGGGAGGGGAATTCATCTCGAATCCTTTGATGGATTTCTATCGTGAACATGGTATTTTTCACATCAATCATGCCCAGTAGTGTCCCAGCCGAATGGTTTGGTGGAACGCAGACATCGTCACGTGCTAGAGCTAAAGCTCTTCTTCTTTTGTCACAGGTGCCTGGTGGTTTTTGGGTGGAAGCTATTAATGTTGTGGTATACTTGATTAATCTACAGATTACTTTGACACTCTAGGATCGAAGCCCTTATTTTTGTCTCTACTCCAAACAGTCACATTACTCACGGCTGCACGTCTTCAGTTGTGTTTGCTTTGTTCTTTTTCATAAGAAAGATCTCCATAAGCTGGAATCCAAGATAGCTCGATGTGTTTTTATGGGGGTACAGTGATCGTCACAAGGGATATTTGTGCTACAATCCTTGTGAACGTCGCATGCGCATCTCTTGTCATGTAGTCTTTCTGGAAAAAGTTATGTTCTATTCCATTTCTTCTAAGGACCATATTCTGATAATGGATTTTTTACATCCCTTGCCAAAGTTGGACACCTTGTCCACACCAACTCCGCCTCTAGTTGCACATGGAGACGATTATGATCCTCCATATGCTCCTGTTATGCCTCTTGGTTCACTGCATTCCTTGTCATTCCGCTCGTCCGACTCAAACGACCCAGGCTCATCCTCTTCCTCTTGTGGTGCATCCTCCTCTGGTTTGCCCAGCTCCTCTAAAGACTTTGTTGATTCTCCCCCTTAGGCTGAACACGTTCTTCCAGTTCATTGCCGATCTCAGTGTACCACCCTTGGCCAGCCGCCCATAAGGATTAAAGATTATGTTGGATTCTCTACTGAACCTATTCCAATACCCAGTCATTATCCGTTTGTTATTGGCCATCCAGAATGGGATGTTTCCATGAAAGAAGAGGTTGATGCTTTTGAAGAAAATCATACATTCACTATTGTTCCTCGCCCTCATGACCTCATAGTTATTGGTAATCGTTGGGTTTATAATGTTAAAATGCACCCAGATGGCTCTATTGAGAGATTTAAAGCGCTCCTAGAGGCACAAAGATTTCAATAGGAATTTGGAAGTGATTATGACGAGACCTTGACTCTGGTGGTTCGAATGCAGACAGTTAGAAGCATTTTTGCCATTGCATCTCTTAAGAATTGGCCAATAGTGCAATTTGATGTGAAAAACGCCTTTCTACGTGGAGACTTGAAGGAAACAATCTATATGGAATGTCTTGCAAGATATTATAAATGGGGGAATGATGTGGTCTGTCGACTTTGATGCTCCCTTTATGGGTTGAAGCAAGCCACACGAGCTTGGTTTGATAAGTTTCTGATGACTCAATATTTGCACAGGTTTTTCCCTTTGTTTCTTGATTGTTTAAGCTTGCATTATTGCTTCTTTGGCCTATTTTACGCTAGGTTGTGTTCCTTTGTCACATTTCAGGTCCTATCACATAAAGTGAAGCATAGGCGCAAGTTTCAAGTCAATCGGAGATCAATTGGCGACTCGGGGGAAGAAACTCGGGTATGACTTGAAGAAGAATGGATAGATACCTCATTTTGTGACCATAGAATCATTTAAGCTTGTCATGAGAAGAAAGAGGACGAGACTATGACGTTTGGAATCAAACGACACCTGATTTGGAGTCCGAACGAGGGAGAAACGAAGAATCAAAGACAGAGGACCCGAAACTGTCAAAATACCCAGTCAGAAGGACTCCCGATCGTGAACCAAAAATACCCGTCCGGTTACCAAAAATACCAGGCCGTGTACCCAAAATACCCTACCGGGTATTTTCCCTTTTGCCCAGAAAAGTGCCCCGGAGCATTTTGTTGATACCCGACCGGTCCTCTAAATACCCGACCGGGTATTTGGACCGGGTTTCGCGAACGCAGGCTGTTAAAAGCCTGTTTTGTGCGTTCTTGGAGGGAGAGAGTTGGGTTTTGGTTCCCAAACACCCAAGGGACGAACCAAAGAGAGAGAGGACGATTTGAGAGCAATCTTGGAGTTGAATTGGAGGATTTCTTCGCGTTGAAAGCTCGAGGAACAAGCCCTGACTTGAAGACTGATCATCTGAAGATTTTTACTGCAGTCTCTCTCTTCTCTATGGAGTAACTTCCCTTCACTTAGGTTTTGAGGAACGCTAGCTATGTTTGTTTGATTGGATGATTGTATGAGTACTCCTACTTGATAATCTTGAGTTCATATTCAATCTATGCACGTTTTCATGATTCAATTATGCTTTAGTCGAGATTATTGATTCTGCTTTGATCCTATGAGAGCGAATACCTGATTAGGTAAATAGAGTACCATAGATTGATAGTATTGGATCGATTGCTTTAGTCGAGGGTCGATTCAGTGCTTTGTATCGATTGAGAACCTCATTCTATAGAGGGAGTCTAGTTCAGAACACCTTGATCGGTTGTTCTAGATAAGGATACGTCCCTCTAGGCAATTGACTCAAGAGGGTCTTGTTCCTTTAGTCGAGACTCAAGGTCTAGTTAAGGATTCTTTGCATTTTGAATGAAAGTGAAACAGGTTAGAGGTCATCAATCATTAATCTGGCTAGCGGCTAGGGGGAATCATACCTAAGTGAGTTCCCAACCTGTAATTAGATTAACTTTAACTGTAGCTTGCTAGAGTAGTTTTAGTTCTTCCATTTTACTCTGGTTTGCTAGATAATGAACTGAAACTGAGTAATAGTAATTCTAGAGACGTGTGGATTCGATATTTATTACTTGAGCCACTATACTGCAGTCCCTTTCATTGGTTACACTTGGCCATTGTTAGGAGTTGTGTCTTAGCGAGTCAGTTTCATAACACTATTTTACAGGCAGGGTTCACACAAAGCTCGAGTGATCCCTCTATATTTCTGTAAAATACATTTCATAGAGTGGTTGTGCTTGTGATCTACATGGACGACATGATATTAACTAGAAGTGATAGCGAAGGCATCTAGAAGATAACTCAGTCTTTACACTCGGATTTTTATCCTAAGGAACTGGGTAATGTTTCTTACCATTTGGGTTTAGAGATAAGTCGTTCTGCAAAAGGAATATTTGTCAATCAGTGAAATTATATACAATATCTGTTAAAAATGGGCAGTATAGGGATTGTCGATCTTGTCCCCCCCCCCCCCCCATGGAACAAAATTTGAAGCTGAGCAGAGAGAGTGGAGAACCACTGCAGAGAGAGTGGTTAGGACTACTCACTTGGATGTCGTGCATACGGTATCTGAAGCATACACAGGATGTTGGAATGTTTTCCGCAGATGGTATGACAGAGCTATAAGGTTTTGCCAATGCAGACTATGCAGGTTGCCTCGATACTAGGTGATCTACATTTGTATAGTGTTTAATATTTGGACTTTCCTTTATTTCCTCTCGCTACAGAAAGCAGGATAAGGTTTGCCAAATCGTCAAAGAAAGCATAATATCATTCAATGTCTGAATTTAGCTCGAAAATGGTTTGGATGCAATGTCTTTTTGAGGAATTAGGAATTGAATGTAAGCTGCCTATGAGAATGTATGGAGATAATACAAGTGCAATCCACATATCAATTAATCTAGTTCTCCATGATCGGACCAAACACATAGAGGGTAATATGCACTGAATTCGGCAACTGGTTGCAGAAGACATGATACAGTTTAGTCATCTATCGACAAAGGATCAGACTGTAGATTTGTTGACTAAGTTGTTTCTTCAAGCCGACATTGGTACTTGTCTTGCAAAATGATGTTGGTAACTCGACATAAATTTGAGGCAGGGTGTTAATCATATTGTTTGGGTATGAAAATATCCTTTAGAGGATTCAGATAGGTTAAGGTCCATAGACTGATATATACTCGTGTATCTTGTAAAGAGAGTATCAAGAAATAAGAAAACCTACAACTTGTGAGAGAGATCCTCACTGTGTACTAGTGTCTCACTGGTGATACCACGTTACAAAATCTTTGTGTTATTTACGTTCTCTTCAATCTTTAACACCCAACATAAGAAGAAGATAAGATGAGGAGGTTTTCTACAATCTTTACGTTTTCTGAAAATGAAGAAGATGAAAGTGGGAGGGGGGGGGGATTTTGGATTAATAAATAAACAACATGGACAAAGCACTTGGAACAAATTGTTTGCTTGTGTTGAGTTTCAAAACAGTTGGAGGCAACTATTTTGTAATCCAACTATGTCAAATTTTGAAATTTTTTGTGTTCTAAATTACTCATTTTTTACCCATTCTCAATCCCAAACGAGGGACTGTTTTCAAATCCAATGAGTAATTATTCCAAAAGCCCTCAAATGTAACTGCCTATCCAAACGACCCTTTAGCCAGTTGGACATTGTAATTCAACAACAAATGTGGTACGACTCATCATAATTGAAGAACGAAAAAAAAACATAAAACAAAAGTTAATTCCTCATCTGTGCATTCTCCCGATTACATAAGGAATCAATCTAATCTCCATTTTCATATCCTCTTCTTCTACAATATGAACTCGACGAATGAGTTCCTGATTGATTACAAACACCTCTATTGTATTCTTATCAGGTAAACACCGATCGATGACAATGTGCCAATTAGATCTCTCCGTCCTTTTTTGTCATAATTTACATCCTATATCATTGTTAATCAAAAGCATTTATTCGTGTTAATGTCTCTCATTGAAAATTCCTAATCATATAATCGACTCAATAATATATTATCGATGTCGCACTCACAGCAGCCATGTGCAGCGTGCAAGCTTTAGAGGCGGAAATGCACGCAGGAATGCGTATTCGCACCCCACTTTCCACCCGACCAGCCACATAAATTTGCCAACATCCACAAGGTGTTCGGCGCCAGCAACGTAGCCAAGCTGCTGAGCGAGCTCCCCACCACACACCACGAAGAGGCCGTGAATTACCTAGCCTATGAGGAAGAGGCCTGTTGAGGCTCTTTTGTACATATTTATTTCCTGAGGACTGCTTATGTTATTTTCCTAGGTCTTTACCCCTAGCTTTAAGTTGCTTGGTGACCAAGCTTGCTGGACTATTTATTTTTGTTCCCTGTATGCGCCGCAGACCAAGAACAGAAAACAGAAGAAATAATTTACATCTCCGAGAGCGTAGAGCTCTCCGTGGACTAGTCCCGTTCGGTTATTGATAACGATATATTTACATGATTTTATACCCCTATTTCTTATCCATTTGCGGAGCATGGTTGTGTGTTTTGGCCTATTTTACGCCGGGTTGTGCTACTTTGCCCTATTTCAGGTCCTAGGCGTCAAAGGGAAGGCCAAGCACGAGTTTCGGATCGTTTGGAGGTCGTTTGGACGAGCCAGGCCAAAACACGGGCAGGAGGCCCTCAGAACACGGCCGTGTTCCTGCGACCGTGCTTTTTATGCCGAGGCTTCCAAAGGAGGCGTGAACAACTCAAAAAACACGGGCGGGCTAAAGGAGAAACACGGCCGTGTTTCAGGCTGAGCACGACCGTGTTCTCGAGCTGCCCGTGGCCGTGCTTTTAAGGCTGAGGCAAAACACGGGCGGGCTGAGGCAGAACACGGCCGTGCCCTCGACCGTGTTTTGCCAATGATGCTCTTTTGAAGGCAGATTCGAGCCAAAGAGGGGGAATCGGATTTTCTGGGCAAAAACAGAGTTTTAGAGAGAGAAAGAGCGAAGAACAAACCCTAGGAGCTATCTTGGAGTGGATTTATCATCATTGAAGCCCGGATTGCGTCCCTAGGAGTGAAGATTGACATCCCAGAGCAGATTTTCCTCATCTTTATGAGTATGACTACTCTGATTTCTGTTTTTCTTTCTCTCTCTATGGAGTAGAACCTCTCTCTCACTTGGGTATGAAGAACCCTAGTTCCTGATGTTAGGGTTTTGATTGTAATGACTTGGGATGATATTATTGTTTGATTTTAATCGAATGACGCATGTTTCATGAATTGATTTGAGTCTGATCAGCTTGTTTCAATTTCTGCTTCAACCTGAGATAGATAGAATCTGATTAGGTTGTTAGAGCTTCTTCATTCGATAGTAGGAGATTGGCTATACGAGAGTTAGCCAGTTTACTGCTTTGTACTGGTGTTCTTGGCGCCAGTAGTGGAGTTCTGTGTTTATAGCCTCAGCTTTCTATCCCGGTGAAGACTAGTCGTCTGCCGGGTAGTTAGACTGAGAGGGCTTGGTCAGCTTAAGAGATTCCAAGCTACTGTCGGATCTTCCGCAGTCTAATCAACAGTAAATCAACCCAGGGAATTGCAATTGAACCTAACTAAGGGGCTAGGGGGACTCAATCCCGAGTGACTCTTAACTGCTTTTGAAAACCGAACCATTTCCTGCTTTCTTACTGCTTTTGCTTTAAACAACAATCACTCGAACTAGTTTGCTAGATAATAGAGAATCACGGAGTAAGCAGTAGATCTAGACCCCGGGTTGATAATATAACTTGCCTGTTACTGCATTCCCGGACTGCGATTACACTTGGTCGCAGTTTGGTGTTGTGTTTTGGCGTGTCAAGTTTTTGGCGCCGTTGCCGGGGAACCTCTAGGTTATTGGAGAAACGTGATAATTTGTTACTCTAGTTTTTTATTTTCTGCATTTCCTTTCTTCCACCTGTGTGCCTTCACGGGTTGTTTCTTCTGAGTGTGTGCAGGTAGTGCATGACCCGTAGCCAGTCGGGAGATCTACTACCACTTGACCAGGAGCTTGAACGAACCTGCAGGAACTCCAAGCGGGTTCTAAAGGCGCGACTGGCTGCGGAGAAGGCGCTGTCACAGCTACAGATCGGAGAGGAAGAAGAAGGCGAGATGGGTGATCCGCAGAACCATGCTGTGATCCCCGAGGAGCAAACCATGGGGTCCTACTGGGCCGCTAGGGCTGCGGACATGAGGTCACCTATTCAACACCCTCAGGTCCCAGCCAACAACTTTGAGGTGAGCACCTCCGTGATCACCATGCTGCGCGGTTCAGTAGTGTTCCGTGGTAAGGAGGGAGAGTGCCCTCGATCACATCTCAGGCGATTCCACGAGCTCATCGATGGAATCAAGATCAATGGGGTACCAGCAGATGCCATCCAGCTGAGGTACTTCCCATTCACTCTGGAGGGGCAGGCCAAGGAGTGGCTAGACACTCGACCTCCGGGCTCCATCACCACGTTCGCCAACCTGGCGGACAAGTTCCTCACCCGCTACCATCCTCCATCCAAGACAGCTGATCTCCAGAAGCAGATTACACATTTTGCTCAGGATGAGGATGAGACCATCAGGGATGCATGGGAGAGATACAACAGCCTTTTCCTCAGGTGCCCCAATCATGGTTTCAACGATGCATTCAAGGTGGGCACCTTCTATCACGCCCTCTTCCCGGAGGACAAGCAGCTGATCGATTCGGTATGTGGCGGGAACATGCTGACCAAAACCCCGCCACAGCTGAATCAACTCTTTGAAGAGATGGCGGAGAATGGTTATGATTGGGGCACTGCCAGGAGATCGAGGAGAGCACCAGGCCGGGGTGTGCATGTTGTGGGCACCCAGTCATCTGATTTGGTGCAGGTAGTATCGAAGCTGGTCTCAGCTATCGATCGTTCCGGGATGATTCCAGGGACCGGACAGCAGCAGGCGATGCTCTGCCAGTGGTGCGAGAGCACCCATCATATGGTGGAAGACTGCCAGGCGATGAAGGAATCGACCACACCCCAGGAGCAGGTGAACTTCATCAACAATGTCAGGCGCAATGACCCCTACAGCAACACGTACAACGAGGGGTGGCGCCAGCATCCTAACTTCTCCTGGGCTGGGCCAAATCCCAGACCACCACCTCCACAGGGACCACCGGGCTTCCAGAGGCCACCATATCAGCCCAGACAGGGGCAATTCCAGCAGCCAGGTGCAGCCCCTGCTGCCCCAGTGCAGAACGATAAGATGGCTGAACTGCAGGACTTGGTGGGTTCTCTCGCCAGTGTTAGTGCTCAGAAATTCAACACCTTTGAGCAGTTCATGGAGAAGGCCTCGGGTCAACTCCTGGCTCTGGAAGCTGGTCAGAGGAATACACGGGCTGTTTTGCAGGATATCCAGACCCAGCTGGGGAGCGTGGCCCAAGCAGTGGCTCAAAGGGCGCCTGGTACTCTACCAGCGCAGACCATCCCTCATCCTCGCGACCCCCACGAGACTGCCAATGCCATCATGACCAGGAGTGGCAAGCTGACTGTTGACCCACCTGCTCGGGAACCGGAGAAAGAAAGCCCTGTCGTAGCATCTCCAGCGGTGGAACACGAAGTAGAGAAGGAGGTTGAGGTGCCTGCACCTGAACCGCAACCAGTAGTGAAGGAGTATGTCCCTAAACTCCCTTTCCCTACTCGGTTGCACAGAGACAGGCTGGAGACAGAGTTCGAGAACTTCATGGCCATGCTCAAGAAGCTGAATGTCCAAGTGCCCTTTCTTGAGGCACTATCGCAAATGCCAAAGTATGCGAAGTTTCTGAAAGAGCTTCTCTCAAAGAAGCAGAAGCTGAGTGAGCTGGCCACTGTGGAGCTCAGCGAGGAGTGCTCGGCTATTCTGCAGAACAAGCTGCCGCAGAAGAAAAAGGACCCAGGTAGTTTCACTATCCCGTGCTCTATCGGTAAATTGCATGTAGAGAAGTCCTTGGCGGATTTAGGTGCTAGTATCAATGTTCTTCCATATAAATTGTTCATGAAACTAGGCCTAGGTGAACCCCGTGCTACTAGGATGACCCTTCAATTAGCTGACAGATCGGTAGTGCATCCTAGGGGTATAGTGGAAGACCTTCTGGTCAAGGTTGGCAAATTCACATATCCTGTGGATTTTGTTATCCTGGACATCAGTGAGGACACAGAAGTGCCTCTTATACTGGGAAGGCCTTTCCTGGCCACCGCCAAGGCTCTCATAGATGTGCATGATGGGACCTTAGTTCTGAGGGATGGCGAGGAGCGAATAACATTTTCTGTTGCTAACACTATATCTGATTCGTTACCTCTGCATGCTGTATCTCACCAGGAGCACGAGTCTGTCGTGTATCCTTCTGTGCTGCCTGTTTTGCAGGACCCGCCTCTCACATCTTCGCCGCCACTCCGGACCACTCCATCATCCAAAGAACAGGTCAAGGAGGAGTGGCGGCCGAAACTGCAGGCAGCTAAGCCTCCTCGCAAGAAAGCCGGAGACCACTATGAGCTGGTCCCGCCCCCACCTTGGCCATCCGAGTATTCACTCGCTTGCATCCTACCGGATGGCCAAGTCGAGCTGGCAAATGCAGGTGGCCACATTCGTCGTGTACATGGCCACCATTTGAAGCTGTACCTCAAGAGCGATGTGGATCCGCTCTTGAGGGCACCTGATCCTACACTTCCCTGAGCATCCTCTACTGGCGTCCAGCTAAAAGACGGTAAAGAAGCGCTTGTGGGGAGGCAACCCCACCACGGTTTGCATTTCTATCCTTTTCCTTTGAATTTTTGTCGTTTTTGAGTCATAGAGTCTGTCTGGAGTCTGTCTGGAATGTATTTCGTGCCTCTGGCGGTGCCTTTTAATGTGCCATTGGGTGAATTTTCGAGCCGGGGCACGAATGAGTTTGGGTGGTTTGAAATTGGAATTTGGAAAATCAGCTTTCTGGGCTCGGCCATAAAAACACGGGCAGCAGGGGGCCAAAACACGGCCGTGTTTTGCCCCCTGTCCGCCCGTGTTTTGAATTTAGACCCAGGGAGCGCGCGGCCTAAAAAGCACGGGCAGCAGGGGGTTCAGAACACGGCCGTGTTCTGCCCCCAGCCCGCCCGTGTTTTTAAGGAGGGGGAGCACGGCCTCGGCCATAAAAACACGG